AATAAAACCAAAAAAAGAACAAAGAGGTGCAAAGTAAGTTGCCTCTACGTGGTGCGCCTTGGAAACGATTGAAACCGGCTAAAAACTTACATAAACTTATATTTTCACATAATATATATACACACATTTACTCACACATACATTGTTGAATATTTAATGCACAAGGATGTTTTTCTCTTTCGCAAAAGTCGGTCCTATCATAACTATGTAAAATGTTGATATCTTTAAAACAGGAGCAGCTAGGATTTCAATTCAAAGGGATTCTTAACCTAAAAATATCAGCAAATACAACCCTGCTTTCAGTTTTTGTCGACATTTTTATGCAACCTATCTTTGCTTCCTGCCCACCGTGTACTCAACATCCGTTATCATGTTTACATTGCCTCTTTGGTCTGTTTTACGCAGATTGAGCTCGGCGAGAGTTCTACACGACAATTTTCTATCTTTAATTACACCCAGAAAATTTTACGTCCATGGAAAGAATTAGGTCTACCTCTCTTAAAACCGGGATATCCACATCTATTGCCCTACTTTTCCGTGTAATTGATACCAAAAAAATCTCATCTCCGTTGTTGGTGGGTGGTTCCGACAGGGTAGGAGTTTGATATATTGTGTAGCGATTTTCCAACCCGTTCTTCAAAGTAATTTTTCTTTCTGAATAGATTATATTTGTCCATCGCCAAATGCCATATGGTTTGCGGTGTCCAATCAGTTTTGATTCGATTTTCTGAAAATATATAAAGAAAATGTTTGTTCCAGACTATGTGCAGACTTTGTTTATTAATCTATTTTTCTTTCAACCTATCTTTACTTTCAGATGTTAGAGCTAACCAACTTTTATCTGACCACAACTAAACATTTTATTGTTACAGTAAATGGATGTTTGTCAAAATACGACGAATTTACTAAGCAAACCAAAATCGGAACAGTTTGTCGTTACCGAAAACATACTAAACAGCTGTGCAGAGCAGCAATATATTGTGAAGTAAGAAAACAAAAAAATTAAGGAAAACAAACACAAAGTACATATGAATGCATTACTAAGAATAAGTAAATTAAAAAGAAAAAAAAAGTTATTATATTTTGGCTGGACCAAAATAAATAGAAACATTGTTATGTAATTATAACACACACACACACAAACTCAGTTAAAAAACAAATACAAATTTTATTTTTATTTGCTAACTAATGACTATAAAAGAAGTATTTACTTAACTTTATATAGTGCTTATAATAACTTTACGACACTCACAAATTGACAAGAGTTGACCACTTACTTTATTATTTTTTAATTTTAATTATTTTTTTCTTCCGTAAAAATTTCGAGCCTTTTAATTAGATTTCTTAGAAAGATAAAGACAAAAATGAAGAAAATGAGAAATACACAAGAATTTTAGTAACTGAAAGAGTAAGAAGATTAATTGAAAATTTTCAATAGGAATCGAAATAAATTCAGTCATAAAAGTTACTGAAGTTTATCGAAGTTTATAATTATCGAAATTTATCGAGTTATTCATGCTTCATGCTTATGTTATCGCAACGTATCGAATTATTCAAATTGATCAATGTTTATTGAGTTGACGAAATTTATAGACACAGAAACTAAGTTGTCGAAATTTACGGATGGGTATCAGGCTATACAAATTTATGGGAAGTTTATCGAAATTTGTTAAGCTAAAAAAATTCATTCATTGTCAAAGTTTATGGAGTTTTCGTAATGCATCGGGTTCTTTCAACTTACAGAGTTATCGATAATTATTGATCTACTGAAATTGGTCGATTAATCGAATCGAAGTTTATGGAATTTTCTAAATATATCAATCTATCGAAATCTCAAGGTTATATAAGTTTATCGAGTTATCACTGCTTATCGAGTTTTATCGTGTTAACAGAGTGTAACGAGTTATTGGAATGGAGTTGCCAAAATTAGAAATTTATAAAGATATCCAAAGTTTATCAATCTATCGATTTATATCGTAACATATATATTTTTGAGTTATCGAAATTTATCGAGCCCTCGAATTTCACAGTTATCGAAATTAGTCGAGTTATCGACTTTTGTTAAGTTATCGGATTTTAGTGTTCTTGAAATTCATCGAATTATCGATATGTATCGAATCATTGAAATTTATCGATAAACTGGAATGTATCGGGTCAATTCCACTGCCTTCCGAAGTCCTCCAAAGACCTTCAAGATATACAAAATTGTAGTCTTGTTTTAGTTGCAAAGCAGAAGATGTTCCGGTACGTGCTAAGTTAGAAAACCTCTCCAAGGCTCTTAAAAACTAGAAAAACGGTCTAATTTCGACAGTAACTGGCGCTCTAGTATAGAAAAAAGGTCGAGCATACTTCGTATGAAAAAAAAACAAAAATTGCCAAAAATCAACGGCAGGTCTCAGCTACTTCAGGCGGGTACTTTGTTGTACTAAAATTAAATGGGCTACAAAACTACGTACTCAAATATTTCTAAGAAAACTAATTAAAAATTTTAATGAAAGTTTTTCTGTTTCTAATGTTGCTATTGAGCTTTGTACCACCATTATGTTTATTAGGAAAAATTGAAAAAGCAACAAAGTCTTAGCGGTAGAAGTTATAGCTGCTGTTTCGGAGATCACCACATCTCCTCATCAGACTTCTTTTTGTAAACTTCAGCAGGGAACGAACCCGCATCATCGATGTACAAAGTCAGATGCGTTAACCACTGAGCTATGCACACCCCGTAAATTATGGTTGCTAATACATTTCCCTATTCAACCTACTACTATCAAGTGCAGCTGATTTGCCGCTAATTAAAACTTGACAGCATCGTTAATTATATACATTAAATTGCTTTATTTTATAGTTTCAGGCTGACCCTAATCTATTAAAGTTGTTTTGACTTTTTTTTGTTAATATTACACAAACATCGAAACTTGGATTTATGCGATTTTTGTTAGAGAATAAACTATACTTTTATAAAACAATAACTCTTGTCAATATGTGAATGCCGTGTAGTTATGATAAACACTATAGTTTATACATAAAAAACATAAAAAAGAAAGAAATTTATTTCTAACATATCAGTTGCAATATTAAAAAAATATTTAATTTTTTTGATCAAAATAAGCTTCCAAACCGAAAGTAAAAGTTACAAAAAATACGATAGACATATATGTTTATTATCTACTATGCAAACATATCCACAAATTTTTACAATAAAGTGCAATAGTTAAATGCAAAAAGTTATTTAATACAGGCAGGACCTTTTGTTGCAAATCCAACATGTTCGAGAAACACGTTTTTAATAGATTTAAAAAAAAAAAAGTGTTACTAAAATCAAATTACATAAAATAGGCACATAGCATGTACAGATGAGAAACAGTTACAGATATTTATGTAAGTGATTTTCGCAACATATGCCAATTAAATTAAAAAATATCTCTGTGTAAATGTGTGCTTAAAATAAGTATAAAAATTTTTGGCAAACATAAAACGTTAATATTACAAAAAAAAAACTTAGATTTTCACTAACTCTGAGACAAAGGGAAATCGGCAAAATTATCGAAATCAAAAGGTTTTAAAAGAGAATGAGGATGGAAAACTTTAAGATTTTCAGTACTTATGGACTCCAAACTTATTGATATAGATTGCGAGCCTTAGATTACCACGCAGCGGTCCAGTGTCTATCCCAGACGTACTTTTTAATCTTCAAGGGAACCGTTGAACACTTTCTCCCTGAGTGTTTTTTTATGCTATTTTTTTTACGGTGTATAGACCAGAAATCGAATCCGGGTCCTACCGAGGGTTACCATGCAAATGTAAGCACTCGGCTACTGCGGTCACTGTTAAAAATTAGGGGAGAAAATTTTTTTCTGGAAATATACGCTGTAAAAATTTGAATTAAATATCTCCAAATAAGATGATTCTCCGCTTCATTTTTAGTACAACTTCATTAATAAGGATTTTACTCCTTTTCACGATAAACGCCATGCTCTTTGTCTCTACTCGAATGCAAAATGTAAAATAAAAATACTATTTAGTAGAAAATTAGCCCAATGCAGCAAAATATATTTACTAGACTTCTCTTGTAAAAGAAGTATCAAATGAAGAAAAACTATGCACAAATAGTTAGTCGTCAATTAAAGACTTTTCAATTAACACTACTTTTGTAATTTCAGTGCCAAATAAAAAAAATATATATACATATATGAAAATATGTCAATTAAGCAAATTATTTGTATATTTGAGTATTAAGAGATTGAAGAAAGAAGAAAAATGTTTGCTACATGAATACTATACATTAGGGTGGTCCTTAAAATAATGGCATTATGAGGCAACCCTTTTGCGGGTCGCTATCAGGGTTGGAAATATACACATATATATTTTTTAATATTTTAATAATTAAATTTTTTCGACCCCTTAAAATTTTTAAATTTTCTTGGATGTCTTTATTTCGTACGTACAAAGTTTAGGTGTTGATATTTTAAGGAAAACAGGCTGACTCTACTATCCGCATTTTCTTTTCACAAAATTATTATTTATTTCGGCTGCTTTTAAAAACGGAAATTTGTCACTTTTTCATAAAAATTTTTGTCATTTTAATGCCGAATCGAATTTGACCATAAAATCAAAACAAAACTAAGTACTAAGTAGCTTAAAACTATACAAAAAACACAGCGAAAAATAAGTGGGCATTTAGCAACTAACTATAAAGGCGATGGGGGTATTCACAGTACAAAGCTAATTGAAAATCATGTAGTGTATATGATTTATTTTGGAAGGATCGAAAAATGACACTGAAGATAACACCACGCCACAACCGCTTGATCTCCAAACCAAATTTGACAAAGTATGATGAAAATACCTTTCAAAATAAATCATCTTCCCATCCGGCGGAAAAATCAACAAACACGAATAAATGAAAAGTTTGCATTTTAGGGTGGCCCTTAAATATCAGCATCCTCAAGCGCTCTTTTATTTTGATTCCGTACAATATAAAGACATCCAAGAAAATTTTAAAATAAAAAAAAAATGGGGGTTTGGAGAAAAATTTAATTTTTTTAAATCGCGATAATTTAAAAAAATTTCTTAGCCAGTTTATAAATTTATATGAATAAGTTTCAATGCACTGAGTGATAGCTGGTGTAAATCAAAATTTTGTAGAATTTTCGCGATTATTTTAAATGAAAATTTTGACAAACCCCGGCAACGACCCCTAAACTTTTTTTAAATTTTCGTGGATGCCTTTATTTTTTACGTAGTACAAAATAAAAGGGTGCCCCAAACACAATTTAGAAGATGATATTTTAAAGTACCACCCTAATATATTTACCCATTTTAGGTTTTGCAGTTTTTTCGATAAAAGTTTCGTTACATTTCTAAGCATGCTACATTTCTTAAAATATTTTTTTTTAAGTTATTTTGCAATGCAACTTTTTTCTACTTTTCTCATTCTCTTTTTTAAATGGTTATGTGAATATCCCTATTGCATTTTTTAAACTTATGTTGTAACTATTTGTAGTTATGCATATGAAGTATTTCTCTAGCTAAATGTTTGTATTTATTGATGTAAGCTTTTCTCTATAAAAAAAAACTAGCGTACTTTTCATAAAAAACTAACTTTTTTAATTGTTGTTAAAACATAAAAATTTATGTCTGAAGATTTTTGTAAAATTATACTTATAAAATTAAATCTGTGTATCTAGAAACGTAAGCACCCATATCATATAGTCAATTGTCACAATTTTACAAGGGTATTGTAAGTAAAAAGTATTCAAGCAATCGAGATAAAATCATATTTTATATCATATCAGTTCTCTGTTATTTACATTTTTTAATTTTTTTTTTTTTTAGAATTTTTTCATTTACATAAATATTTGAAATCCATGCACAAGGATTCGATAAAGTTTTTCATACAACTAAATACACAAAGTGGTATTTAAGACAATTTTTAATGGTTTTTTTGATTTTACCTGTTAATTTATTTATTTTAGTTTTTTTACTCGTCTCACCACTTTAAAGTGTGCTTTTGACTAAAGGTTGTCCTTTGGCAGAGAATATAAGATAGTATATGT